GTCAGGGGGAAGTTCTTTACAGAGAGAGTGGTGAGGTGCTGGAACAGCTGCCCAGAGAGGTTGTGGATGCTTCATCCCTAGAGGTGTTCAAGGCCAGGTTGGCCAGGTTGGATGGGGCCCTGAGTAACATGGTCTAGTATTAAATGGGGAGGTTGGTGGCCCTGTGTGTGTGGCAGGGGAGTTGGAGATTCATGATCCTTGAGGTCCCTTCCAACCCGGGCCATTCTGTGATTCTGTGATTCTGCAATAGGAGATTGCATGTCATCAATAGTGAAGAGATGCAGTAAAACCTTGGTAAAAAAAGGTTTGGTGGCATGAAGGGAATGAGAAGTTTTAGATCAAGAAGTATCTGTATTTGGGACCTTCATCTCCAGAGGAAGCTCCTCTTCTTCTTACTAACCCTGTTACTAAACTTACTAACCTACCTTTCTACTGAAGAAGAGCGGAAAAGAAAGGCTGCAAGGAATTGTTTGAGATTTTGAAAAACAATGACAAAGGTATGACCTTGCCACACGCTTCTCTTGCATAGCAAAACTGACAGAGAGACAAATGCATTCTCAATCATAATAGGACTACTTAGTGTCAAAACCAAACACAGTCCCTGTTTTTCCTCTCACATTTTAATTTTATACCACTGTGAAGCCATCAACTTGCCAGGACAGTTTCTAATTTATGTTAATAAATGAAATCAGTAAAACTAGAAAAAAAGTGAAATCAGAATGAGGCCAAAATATGACACATGTCAATGCAAACATGAATGCAAATTTAAAGGGAACTGATTTTTTTTTTTTTTTTTTTTTTTTTTTTTTTTTTTCTAAACTGTATATCTAACACCCGGCTAGAAGAAAAAATACAATCCTCTGAAGTTAGGAACAGTATATACTTCCAAAGACTGTCAAGCACAATGCAGAATAAGATTGCTGAGATCAGAAAATTGTTTCTAGCGTAAGAGGAATGCAGTCATGACTGATAGGATTTCCCATTAAACATGGCCTAAGAAAAGCAGACATTTCAGAATACAAATCAGCACTTTATAAATACATTTATGTCTAAAATTACATTTTTTTTTTTTTTTGTATGAAGCTGACTACAATAGAATTACTAGCAATTCAACAGAAGAAATACTACCATGCTTAATCTACACATACTACCAATGTCTTGCTTACTACATATCTAATACTACAAAGTAGTACCACAGCAGCATTATGTTCCTTCACAAATCTAAAAAAAAGCCAACAAAACATAAGCAACAAGAAGAGGAGGAAAAAAAAAAGAAAGATATATTTATTCTCTGAACTGCTCGGCTGACTTAACATGGAATGAAGCCCACTTTACCTGAATCTAAGTGCCATGGGTCAGTTGCAGCAGACATTGGTGGGATTGTCAGTGGCGATGCTCCACAGTTGGATTCCACCAGTTCTCCTTGAATGTGGACGTGAGAGGAGGTATTGGTAGATCTCAAAGCTGCTTTGAGGGGAGCAATCTGGTTGAACTGTACTCTTGATAGGCAACCAGTGAATCCTGGTGTGTTGTATTTATATATATCTTGGTCGATCTTCCCAATTTCTATAGGAAATCAAGAAACAAAAAGATATAGCAAAACAATTCACTGCTTTGGAAAGCACGGTCTTAGCTCTCAGATCCCAGAACTCAGTTAGCTCAGTTCCAAAGTCTCTGTTTCAGGAGACTAAGAATGTTTCAGACCCTGTCAGATTTCTTTCCATTTTGCTACAGAATAAAGCAAGAAATCTTCGAACCTTGTTGAGACATGGTTTTGGTATGCTATCATTAAAATGAAAGGCTGGGGAGAAGGAGTCATCAACAAACAAAACACCAGGAAAAAACCCTCTCCTCTAAGAGGTGGTGAAAGAGAAGTTACAGTGATAATTGTGGCTGGAATGTCTCCTCAAAGCTTCTTCATTCACCCCAGCTCCTTGCCCCCCAGTCTGCCTTGGTTGGTGAGGACCCTATCAACAGATCCATTGCACACATTTGTGACATTAGCATTCACACTCCATTGCAGTTCACTTCTTTTCCCTCCCATTTCATCTCAGAGATCAGATTTTGGATGACAAGTTGAGCAACATACCATGGTACACCGGGACAGAAAACATGAAGCAGCCCGAGGTTGCTCAAAGGCCACCTCTTCAGATAGGAATAATGCTAAGGGTTTAAAGAGTTACTAGAAAACAAAACAAAACAAAACACAAAACCAAACAACATATAATTGCAAGATTGTGTCATAAAAAAAAAAAAAAAAGAAAATACAGACCTGAGACAGATGCTTCTGCTGTGAGAGGAGTGAGGAAAAAGTGCAAAAGATTTTTTTTAAGCATAAAAGCTAGGGGAAGAGCTAGGAAGTAAAGCACTTCTAGGTTTTTGTGCTACTGAACATAAAAGAAAACAAAACAAAACAAAGACCACACAAAGTTAGTAGAAAATGCATTTCAAACCTTTTGGATTAGTTGTGTTCTGCTCTAACCAAACTAGGCCCAATTATAACCTGCAGGCAAACAGGCCTGCTGACTAGGCATGCTAAAACCTACCATGCAATATGTAACAGTGCTATTTCTACAAGTACTAAGGGTTTTGCATCATAGATATGTACAAGGAGTTCCAAAGCTATAAACCAGAGTATTTTCAAGCTGGATTTTTTGGGGTGGTTTACACATTGGACATGAATTATTGGACAGCTGGTGGAAACTGGACAAATCTTATGCACATTTAAAGCAACTTACTGATTTTCACACAAACTTAAATTGTACCTTTTATGTCGTGGCAACCAATTTAGAATGAGAAACATGAAACATTTAATGCCACACCTAACATGGGTAAAAGAAGTGACAAAAATTGAGTCACAAAATCTGATAATTAGTAGACCCATTAGCTCCTTATGTGATCCTTACTACAAGAATTGATTTGTTCTATCTCTTCCATTTTCCTTTTCCCTTCTCACTTGAGAACATCCTCCTCCTCGCTGCTAGTGCTTATCCAGCTTGCATCAATATTACAGCCATGTTTCACAAATTGTCAGTGAGCACTGGCTGTCACATGTGAGAAAGTGGAAACATGCTCAGACTTGGCTAGAAACTAGCTAAAATTCATTAACATAATTGTATGTCACGTCAGTCTTATATCCAACCATCTTTTAAGAAAGTAACCTGACTGAACAATTAACATCATCTCCTTCAAAAATGTGGTGTTAAGAAAATTTTCCATACTTAGGAGAAAAGCTGTACAAAAATTGGAATTCATGCACCTGAATGCTACCTCTATACGACATCTATCAAAAAAGACTCATACCTGACCACAATATTTACCATCTCCTACTTCAGAATAATATTTATGATATTTTCAGTGAATGGCTGTAACGTTGAGTAATCCTTACAATATAACAGTTAAAAGATCACATTCCTTGTTCAACATGGTAACCTCTCAATAGCTGTTTACTGATTATCTTTTATTCGTATTTTTATTCAGTCAGTGGGATTTTGTGTAGCATTTGCTAATAGCCTTCCACGTACAATCTTGAATGACAAGAGCAAAAATCCATGCATATGATCAAATTTAGTGGCTTCAGAACCATTCTTCTCTATACTCTGTGAATAATAAAGGATGGACACTAGATGCTGAAAGAACTGAAGAAGAAAAAAAACGAAAAGCACCCAACAAGACACCATACTAATGACCTGCGTTTTTGTTTAAGACAAATGATAGTTGTGCAAGTCGTATCATGTAACTTACTATCAACTCACACAACATCAATGCTAAAACAAGATGGATTGAGTTCTCTGTGAACATATGCCTCTATGCACATCCCTTGGGGTTCTGCACACTGATACTCTAATGTTAGGCTGATTCAGGTCAGTTTGTTTAGCAATAGGGATTAGTACATTAGTTTAAGAACAAATATATTAGTTTAGCAAAAGTAATGAGTAGTAGTTCTAAAACTTTCCGTTTCAACTTTACTGGGTGATGAAGTGGGATCACTATATACACTGTAAGAACAAACTTTATGGATAAGCAACTCATCCTGTTATGCAAGCAAAGATGCAGAACTGAAAAGTTTGACACTAGACAAGAACCTGTACTGAGCCCTTAACTGTAACAGGTTTAAGAGTTGAGTGTGAGGAAGACATCGAGACCTTCATCCCCAACCACCAGGAGGGGCTCCAAAGACCACTGAAAGGACCACAGAGAAATACTACCTATGCCTGAAGAAGGGGTGGAACAATCTGCTAGTTCTAGGACTCATTCAGAATGTAATGAATATGCATGACCTAAGCCTTTAAATCTGCAACTACTGATTCCTTTGGTGTTCATGTTTGGTGTAGTGATCCCCCTGCACCTAGAGCTGTGATAAAGGGAAGACCTGCTTGACATAACTCACTGGTGTGTCGAATTACTTTGGTGGGTTTTCTCCACTTCAGTGAATAGTCTTGTTTTCCTCAATAATTTTGCACTGGGAGGTAATAGAATACTTTCATCCTTTGCCTCCATGATTTTGCCTCACAAGAAGCACAGGAGTCATAATAGAATACTTTTACCTTTTGCACCCAGTAGGTGCAGGGACATCTTCCTTGGATTCCACATATATTGTTTTAAAAGCTGCTTACTAGGGCCTAATAAGCAACAGAAGTTATCCAAATTGGGGAAAAGCGGCTGAAAGTTATGAATCCTTGAAAAAAGAATGAATATGTATGCCAAAGTACTGCATACGTATGTCTTGACTGTTTAAATGTAGAACCTGAGGTCTGAAAGAGCGTACTTGCTTGTCAAGTCACCTGATACATATCGTGAGGATAAAAGGAATGCCACTTTCTAACACCACATTGGAGTTAGAGTTTTCTTCCTAGATTATGGATGAGAAGGCCATTATACTTTGCCTTTGAATTGTGAGAACAGCTTTTCCATATTATGAGAAAAGCCTTTTGCATAGCTTGAGAGGATACAAGCTGAAGGACTGGAGGCTTCCTTAAATGTAAGCTCAAGAACAAAATGTGGAGGCCGTGAAACTTGTCGAGTAAAGATAAGAAAGTAGAATAGATGTCTTGTTACTGAAGATAAGACAGCAAAAAGCTCATCACAACACCAGTGAGAGCTGGTTTGTGCTATCCCCCTCTTAAAGGACTGGAAATTCACAGAGAGGATGATCAATTACTAGCCTTCATCCTGCAGCCATCAGAGACCCCCACAACACTCTTACAACACATGCCTGAAAGGGTGGGACAGTATGTTAATTATTTCTTGGAATTTCTGCCTGTGTCCTTGGTATGTCATGAATATGTATACGCTTTAAATATGTAGTTGCTGCTTCCCTTGGTGGAGCAATCCCCCATTCACCCAGAGCTGTAATAAAGGGAATACCTGCTGGATGTAACTCACTGGTGTGTCTAGTTACTATGCTGGTTTTCTTGGCTTCACCTCCCTGAGTATTTTAGCCTGCTGTAAGCCTAACCTTTGGAGAGTGTACCAATTATATAATGAAATATACCTTTGTTGTTACGACTAAAATTCAATTTTCTCCCTGTAAGAAAGGAGAGAGAAAATAAAAAAGAAGATGACAGTCACATTACTGAAAGGAAATGGACAGTGCAACTAGCTTCCATTGTTCTAAGCTGGTGAAATGTTGTAAAAATTGATATTATAGCATATAGTATTATTAGCAATTAGCCATATTAGTATTATTATTTTCAGATCTAATACACTAATATGTTGGACCCTGCCCACAAGTATTTCTGTAATGAAAGACTTCCAAAAATACCATTAATTGGCTTTTAATAATTTTACCTGGTTTTAACCATTTGCTTTTTTGACAACATAACATGCAGGCATGAGATGAAGGCCATGATTACACAACATTTAGGCAAACCCATCCTAATAGAGGCACATTGCAGCATGTAAATGCTTAAGATTGAACATTCACATAAAAACTATACAACTGCTTACCCAGATTAATTACCATTTAAAAATGTACATAACTACTGCAGAGTATACTAAAAAACATCACAGATACTGCTACATCTTGACTGACTATAATTCAGTCAGTGTATACTTAATCTCAATTACTTGATGAAGAAAAAACAAGGATAAAGTTTCTTTACAAAATAAAATTTGGGAAGAACAAAGGAAGGATAGGGGTCCCTGCAAAACAAGATAAAGAAAAAGCTGAGAAGAAGAGTTTCAGTTCACAAGGATCTGGTTAAGCAAACTTATCTTGAAGGTATATGGCAGGAGATGTTAGCTTAGCACCTGCATGTAAATCTTGTTGGCTGTGTAGAACAAAGAGTGATAGCCTTCAGTGGATACAAATACAGTTCTAGTTGGGCAAAACAGCAAACTCAGATTACAAAGTATGAATAAACAAAGGAAATTAAGGGGGTACCTACTGGAGGGGTGGCTGATAGATGAATCAAGAAGAATGTGAATACCGAGTACCTCAGCCAGTGGGGAATAGGGAAAGGGCTCACTAGCATTAGAGAACAGGGATAAAAGAGGAGCCCTCAGAGGTACACCCCAGTGGACTCTCCCTTTATTTGAATAAATAAAACTCCCCTCTGTCTTTTTCAAGGACAAAGATGATTGAGCAAGCTTATTGGAGCAGAAACTTTCCTAACAACTTGAGGGCTCATCTGGGATCTGTCCACCCTCTGGTGTAGGCAGACATCTAAGTGAGCTGACAGGCACCCTCACTGATTTCTTCTGATCAGCTCACTCTGGAGTTCATCAGCACTGGGGAATTTACTGGGTTCTTAGGACCATCCCAGAGACAGATGGGATGATGGACTGGGAAGTCCATGAAGAAAGAAAAAGGAAGGTGTAAGAGACTATTTCTGCACCTTTGTCTCAAAGCTTGCAGCTGGACAACTTCAACAGATGGAGAAGACCAGGCAACTCTCAGAAAAGTCCAAGACAGTCTCAGACAAGCCCAAGAAATCTTTTGTCTGAAGACTTGCAGGACAAAGGCAAAGAGAGAATAAGCAGCTGCCAGAGATAGGCAGCTGCTAAATGGCTAATGAGCAGCCTTTTGTGGGCACATCTTGAGGGAGATAACCATCCAGAAGATCTGCGTGCCCACAGGTGCTGCACGTGACTCTAGTGCCCAGGAATGCTGCACTGGCAGAATAAGAGGATGAAAAAAAGGCACCTACAACTAAGAAACGGTGTGCCCAATATTGGATGCCTTGTGCCTGCTGCCTGATTTTTCTGGGCCAGCTACCTGAGACCTGCCTGTTTCTCCTGGACTTGTTGTCAGTTGCCTTCCATTTACCTGCTTGCTGCCTAAGGCCAGCTATTTTGCTGCAACCTCCCCCTAAACCCTTACTCCTGAACTGGCCTTGGACCATCGGAACAGAGCACAATAGGACCCTGCTGGATCCTTGGTGGTGACTATCCCTGCTTTACGTAATTCTTGATCTTTTCCTATCTTTTCTATGGCCTGCCTTCCATTCCCCATTGCCCTAACTTGTAATAATCACCAGCCTTTCCATTCCCCATCACTTTAATTGATAATAAACTGTTTGGATGACATTTGACTGAGCTTGTGTCTCAGTCTCATTCCAGGTATATCAAAGAATCTCCCCTAATGGAGGAGCCGAGGACTCTGTGAAGAAATCTCACCAGAGGCTCAACTAGCACAAGCTTTACTCTTGGACTTTGCAGTGTATAATATCCAACCTGGAGACTGGATCCTGGTGAAAGACTGGAAAGAATCACAATTCACTTCATGTGGAACAGAACATTTCTTGTGCTGCTTACTACGGAGACTGCAGTAAAAACTGTGAAACATGGATGGATCCACCATATTTGTGTTAAACCTGCACAGGCCCAGACAGCTGGACCTCAAAGGTAGAAGAGAATGGAGGTCTACTATTAACATTCACTTGAAATTGGTCAAGTAGTGATCCTGAGCTCCTAGCCTCTAGGGAAGCTGAAGAGGATGGCAAAAGAGGGAACATGGAGGTCACTGAGTGTTACTGAAGGAGTATGCTGCCTGGAGTCTACAGATATGGGCATGGACATGAATGAACCCACCCAATTTTTGTATACCAGGACTATCATTGATTGGGTAAAGTGAGTGGATAAGTAATATGGACTTTGACAGGAATTTGTTTCCACAAGGATTGCTAGTTTTTCTGTTAAGTATAATTTTGCTTTTTTGTTGATAGCAATATGAGGGCCAAATTTCGAATAGTACTACTTTGCACTCCAGGAGTCATGGGGTTAGAAAATAATTTGCTCCTAAAACTAATGCAAGGGTTGGGAAACTACAAAATCTCACTAGCATTACTACCTGACTACTGATACCAAAGTCAGGTAAAGATCTTCTCCAATGGGAAATTTTAACTCTAAAAAAGCTCTAGTGAATTAATAGACATTAGCAGAAAGGCCAGACAAAACTGAATAAATGGCATCATAGAGGGAAGTCTCATGGCGTTTTGAATGGAAAGAAAAACCTCAAGACACAAATAGTGTTGATCCTCATTGTAAGGAAACTTTCATTCATACAGAGAAAGGGGCAGTAGCCGATAAATGAAATTGTAAGGTAGAATATAATTGTACCAGTTTCAGATAGGAATGGATTAGAAACCCAACTGGTATATGGCAGGCAATGGCTGCTTGTTGAAGTTGTAGAAAGCTCGATTATATGGGAGGAAATCTTGGATGATCAATCTCATGTAAATCCTTTGCTTTCCCATTCACTGGATATACAAATTCACCTAACCACCAATTTACTACTGGAGCTTTAACTCTTTGCCCTCCTCAGAAAACAAACCCTCTGTCCATGACATTTTGGGGAAAAATAAAATGATCAGAGGATTCTGAAAAATGGCAAGGACCATCCACTTCAGTAAGGGTAGGAGGGATTTCAGGCTTTCTTTGCACTGGGAATTATGGCTTTAGAGAATAGAATACTATTGTCCGATCTCACTTGGCAAGTTGAAAGCCTTGCAAATACCACTGGGCAAGGTGATGATGAAAACATTATATTATTTCTCTGCTGAAAATTATGTGCTACTACTGAAGAAGATTTTACCCATTTAGATGAAAAGTTGTAAAAAAGATCTATTTTTGAGCATGCTGGTGACACAAGGTGCCATGAATGAGAACCCACAAATTGAAATTAATTATTCCTTGAATCTAGAAGAAAACAAAAATATC